GTCATGCTTCACATATACATCTCTCTTGGCTCTTACAAGTAATTCATGAACCAGATTCAAAGAAGGAAAAAGAACACCATGCTATCGACCTAATAAAAATTATTAGTCATTTCCACCCCCCCCCCCAACTTCTGACTGCATGCCTGGGAATAAGTTCCACTAAACTGTATGGTGCTTAACTTTTTAATAAACCTGTGTTGTTGTGCAAGACATTTCATGCAATCCTGTGCCTGATTATCACTGTTTTCAGTGCTTTTTAATAACCACAGGTAAAATTGCAGACATAAATTGTGAATTGGCAATACTTCCAATTCTTAGACTATCTAAGGTTAAGATTTATAGATTTCTCAGATCCTAGAACATTCCAAACTTAATAGGAGATCGAGGGGAAATATTCCTTAGCTCTTTCTGGCATGGTAAAAAAAAAATATTTTGGCAGATTGAATCTTTTTTGGCTCTATTGAAAAACACGGTTACGTTTCTTTTGTTTCTTGTCATATGAAGACCACTGTGGAGGACAAATGCACTCACATTAAGTCTTCTGCACTCCTCTAACATTTGCCCTCTTCAGGTCTTATGTTCCTTTTCAGACCAGAAATGTTTCCAAATTTTGCATCATTTAGCCTAACAAACATTAATCTCTTTCTACAGTTGGTGAATATTGGGTCATCCTATAACTATGGGAATGAGGATCAATCAGAATTCCTGTGTGTTGTCTCGAAGGAACTATGCAGCTCACCCAGTGGCCTCTGTTCTGAGTCTAGCCGGAAACTCAAGGTTTGAGCAGTCTTTAAAATTTAAATGACTATGTTCTAAACTCTCTTTTCAGCTATCAAATGGCAAATATGTTAAGACTTGGTCTTTGTTATTCCCTATCATGTCCAACCTAGTTTTAGAAATGTTTATTTCTAAGCCAATGGTCCATGTTTTCTGCCTTTCAAAAATATTATTTCTGGAATGAATGAAGACTCTTTTTTTACAAGGGGAGATGGAACAGAATTACATTTTGATACCTATTTCCTTTCATAGATACAATAAACCAAAATTTAAATAAATGTATAGTTCTTCAGAATTATGTACATCTGCATGGTATTGTCCTGCTTCGTTTTCTGTTATCTGAAATTCCAGAGTGAGGGATTTTCTGAAATGAGGTGGTTAGTCCCAAGTTCTTTATTGACAAAATATTAATCACATAATGTGTTGATGTATTTACATTCAAGTACATGATCTAGTTCAGCAAAGGTAACATGATGTCTTTGAGAGAGATTGTGTCCACCAGTCTCCCTATTCCATCTCACTTTTTAAAAGATTTTTTAAATTAAAAAATAAAACAGGCGAACAGAAGATGACATATATGACAAGGATGACTAAGCACATATATTTTCAGGAATGGGGAACTAATCAGATTTGTAGATGACATCAAGCTAGCAGGAATAGCCCATACTGCAGAAGAAAGGGTTAAGATACAGAAGGATCTTGACTTGAACATTGAGTCCTATCTGACAAAATGAAATTCAATAATGAAAAAAGTAAAGTTTTACTTTCTAGGCAAGAAAAAACTAAATGCACAGGTACAGAATAGGTGGTACCTGGCTCAAGAGTAGTAACTGAGATGGATCTTGGAGTCCTAGTGGACAATCAGTTTAATTATGAGCCAGCAGTATGCTGCTACTGCCAAAAAAGCCAACCACATCCAAGGCTGCATTAACAGAGGGATAAAAACAAGATCATGTGGAGTGTTGATACCATTTTATAATGACTTGGTAAGGCCACACTTGGAATACTGCACCCAGTTTTGATTGACACAATGTAAAAAAAGATGTGGAGACTCTAGAAAGAGTGCAGAGAAAAGCAACCAAGATGATTAGAGGACTGGAGGCTAAAACATATAAAGAGCAGATGCTGGAATTGGCTGTGTCTAGTTTGATGAAAAGAAGGACTAGGGATGACACGATAGCAGTGTTTCAATATCTTTTGGGAGTTGCCACAAAGAAGAGGGAGTCAAGCTATTCTCCAAAGCACCTGAAGGCACAAAAAGCAACCGATAGAAACTAATCACCTCGGTTCACCCACGTAACACCTATCCTCCACGAGCTGCACTGGGAGTCAATTTGGAAGTCCTCCTGGACCCACAGCTGACTTTTGAACACCACTTGTCGGCTGTGACCAGGGGGGCATTTGCCCA